GGAGTATTTTCATTTTTTTAAGCCAAGTAAATTAGTCTCAAATGATGAACTGTAACAGGCTTTGGGAGATGTATTTTTGAAGCAAGCTGCTGCTGCTTCCCTCTTTGTAAAGTACAAAATGTAAAAGTTCCTTTCAGAGAGCACTGACTGAATGCCTGCTATGTTCAGAGTACTGCCTTCCAGTTCTCAGAACTTGTGTTTAAAAACGTGAGATCCCCACCATGGCCTATCAGTGGATGTCACCGTAACTGTGCCATGCTGGGTCATTGGCACAGTCCTGTTCTCCCAGAATTGGCTATCCTGAAGGTAGATGATCCTGAAGTTTCTGTCTAGGAAGAGGAGCACCACTGTACCCACATGGTATGCCATCCTCCTCCCCTTCACCACCCAGCCCATTCCTGGAATGCCCTGTCATGTCACGTCACAGCCTGCCTCTCTGAACCCTTCCAGGGGCTCAAGGGGTGACTCACCCTATTTCTGAATAACTCCCTAAAAAGATGCATATTTATTCCACGGTCATATCATCTTATCCCTGAAGGGATAGTTCTCTGGCAGCTGGGTCTCCTTCACACCTGTGCTTAGCCACATGATTTCAGTCTGAGCCTCATTTAAGGCATTTCCTGCCTGTATTACATCTAAATGTTTTCCAGTTACCTCGGGTGAGACATCACTCTGAAATCCCCAGGGCTAGCCCACTCAATGGAGTTCAGTCATGTCTGTGTCTTTGCCTTCTGGAACTCAGCAACCAGGCCCATACCCTCCACTCTCTGCTGTGGAAACCCAGCTGGAGAGATACTAAAATCACCCTATTCAGGTCCAGTGATGCTTCTTTGGTTGTTCCCAGGTGTCTGAAGGTCCTTGGCTCCCAGCCCCATCTCTAAAGACCGGCTATGAATATGTGGGCTTCTACCACCAGCCTGCTGCCACGATGGAGGACAATGATTCAGATGACTACATCAATATTCCCAGCCTGACTCACCTACCCAGATGTCCCCTGGGCCCAGACCTTGGTGCCAATGAGTCTTGTCTGTCTGTTGATTTCTGATACCTGCTCCATCTATTCTTGGAGCCCTCATTACCTCCCATGCCCTGTCTGGACTCTCACCCCCATCTGCCTGTGCCCTGAGCATGGCTCTGTCCCGAGTTCCTCTTGCACACTTTTCCAGCTCGCTGTGGTTGTCAGTGGGCTCTGGGCATACAAAGAATTTGTCCCAACGCCGCTTGCCTCCTTTCCATCACATTTTACAGGCTGTGGGATTTGCAGAGAGTTTCCTCAATGTCTTTGGTCACTGTGTCTTTGCTGCCCTGGTTCTAGATCATGTGGCATCAGGCTGGAGCATAGGCCTAGCTGTTGCTTCAGGAGCCTCACACAAGTATGAGCGTACTTTTAAAAGTTCATGGAAAAATAGAATTGGAAGATAATACAATTTTTTTCCATGAACTCTTTGAAGTACTCTCATAGAAAGCCCTTGAGCTACACCCATAAGATAGGAGCCTGGTATGAAAACACCCCTGGGAACATCTTTGCCCTGATCCAAAGGCAGGCAGCCGCTAGTTAGCTTCTACTTATCTCTAGTCCTTTGGTAAGGGCAATTAATTTTGATGTGATGGGGTATTCTAAATTTTCAGAACAAAGCTTGTTTGTGTTAGTGAGATATACATATATATCCATAAGTCCTCTTTGCTGTAAGTCTCCCTCACTTGGTGCACATAAGTACCCTGACCCTTGCATCTCCCCTCTTTTAGAAATCGTCTGTCATCTCCTTATCCTTCTTCTGTAGCCTAGCCCCAATATTTGTGCACTTATGTTAACTTTGGCCTATTTTAGTCGTCCAAAACCATTACATTTCTCTGCTGTCAGAAGTGGACCCCATGTCATTGCCAGTTCCAGACAGCCTATGGCGAGGTGGGGAAGGAAAGCAGTCTGGGGTTCCTGGAGGGCCAGGGGCTCTGCAGGACTTCTGTCATGGAAGAAGAGCTATCCCACCCCCTACCTATGCTCTTTCTCTTACATTTTTGAACCAAGGTGATAGTTGAACATTACACCTTGGGATTGATGACAGTTACATAGAAGCAAGGTCAGAGTTGGACACTATATCTTGGGATTGATGTCAACTACGAAGTTCAGCCAGAGCTAGAGAATTTTTCCAGATACAAGACACAGCCTTACTGGGCGCTTGTCCAGAAATAGAAAGGAAAGGCTGCCAGACTTGAGTTGTGCTGCCTTCTATTATCAGGAAGTGTCATCACAGGTTGGACGGTACATCCAGGTACAATGACACCGTCAGCAAGGTCAGCTTGACACTGGCACTCTCTCACATGGCAGATAGGAGAAGAATGAATAAGACAGGAAAAGGAAGGCACTTAAGGAAAAGGGGTGGTGGGGGTGGGCGCAGGAGTGGGTGCGGGAAATGAAATGCTCAGTGAGAATCCGTTTTGTGCCGGACAGTTCAACCTACATTTTATCTTTCATTGTTTCCTTTTCAAACCGGCGCCCCTCTCCCCCACCCCGGTGCTCTGTCCCTGCAGATATAAGACAATGTTATTTCCATGCCCTAAAGTTCAATTTCATATCCTAGCAACATTGTTCCTCAACAATCCACAAACACGCAAAAAATATGATTTATTAAATGTTCACTGAGCCCCCATCCACTGCCCCACACTGTGGCAAGGACCATGGGGGATACAAGAAAAGCACAGGGCACTGTGTTCTGATGACTTCATGGAACTTAGAGTCTCACAAATAAATATAACTTCAGTTGAAACACTGACAGTAATTAAATAGAGTTGTAATAAATACAGGAATCCACTTTGTAGATCATTCACAGCATCCAAATGAGTCTTCCATGACTGTCGTTGGGGCTATTGAAAGAATGACGTCTTTGAAGACACGCCTGGTCCAAGAATGGAACCTAGGGCCAAGGGTATGAAATGCCCAGAGAACAGCAGAGGAAGGGACACCTGTCCTAAATGATACAGAAATGAATGAGGAGGTTATCCTGGTCTAGGCATTCAGAGCTGGTAGAATTTCTCCATCCAGGTCAAGAGAATGTCCACTTCCCCAAAGGCTTTGGTCAGAGCTGCTTCTATGTCCAACTAAAGAGAAAGGAGAGTAGAAGGTCAGCCATGTTAGCTATGAGCATAGTTTTCCCTCCAACTTTCCATGCCTGAAACAGGCCTGGCTCCAAATCATGGGCTAGGTCACCTTTGGGATGGCCTCTGTGAATCCACGTGCTCATCACTTGTCCCCATCTATGTGTTTGTTTACTTCATTGGGTGAGGACCCAGTGACTGGCAGTCAGCAAAGGTCAAGGGAAGAGCATCTGGTGCCAACAGCAGAAACCATGGAATCCAGCGTGGTGGATGCGTCCCCCCACCTGAGTCCCCAGTGCAAATGGGAAATGAGGCCAAGTGACCCCTTTCTGTAGTACATTACTGGTCTTCATCATTTATTTATAGACTGATGTATCTGTTTCTTGGAAAAATGATCAAAATCACATATGTTTGGAGAGGAGCTGGGGATAAGATTTGGATTTCTTTGTTCTTAGTTTGGGCAAAAGTAATATTATTTTCCATAATTTTTCTAGACCATTTGTGTATTAAGGAAAATACTGCGGATATGTATGGGCGGGGGGCATCTCCCTTCTCCCTTCCCCACTTCTGACTTCAGTTGTCCAGCTCAAGTATCATAAAGCTCTCTCCCAAGGAAAGTCCCTGATAGTGAAATCATCTTGTAGGGAAATATAGCATTTTAACTTGAAAACTAGAAGGAAACTTACTTTGCAATATTTATACAAAATATATGCTAATGTATGCAAATATACCTGTGCTCCTGCTAAGTCAGATGGCTTTTGGGGAAAGCCTGGTGGAGTCACCTGCATTAAATTTCTGCATTAAGTCTCTGAGGCACCCTTATATGACAATTTAAGGAAGTCTATTTCTGCTGGACGGGCAAGCTCTCAGCTCCTGGCCTTACCTGTTTAAATGCTCCCTGAAACAGCAGAAACCGCCTGTGCGCATTCTCACTGGTGGAAAACATCTCATTTTCCTGCTGCATAACAGAAAAAGAAAGTTGTGCCAAGTGTCAGGCAGGAGCAGACGCACATTCCCTCCTAGTCTTCCTGGTGATTCCAGAAGGTCTCCAAAGGCCTGAGAGTACAGGGCTGAATCCTGCATCCTCAAGGTAGCCAATGTCGAACTCCGACCATGTAGCAGGGGGTGCCTTCCTTAATTCTCACACCAATCCCACCAGGTAGAAGTGAGCATCCTCACTTTACAGATAACAAAACTGAAGCCCAGAGAGGTTGAGCACCTTGCAAAGGGTCACCCAGCTGATTAGAAGCAGAGCTAGACTTGAACCCAGAACTGCTGGTGTCCAGAGCCTGTGCTCTTTTCCAGGACACCCATGACTCCCTTGTTGTGAAGTAGAAGCCAGGATAAGCAGATAAGAGGAGAGGAGCATTCTCAAAACACACCATTTCCTGGGGCTCCTAGTCCCTGCTCTGTTCTACTCACACTGGGTTGCAGTTTTGACACGATGACGATAAAGTTGTTGGCCAGAGTAGAGAGTGACTTCAGGATCCTGACTTCCACTGTTTTACTGTGGTAGTTTTTGAAAACGGTATTCAAGTAGAACTTCAGCAGGGCACGGATGAGGTAACAGCTCTCAGCATCCTGCAGAGAGTCGGGTCACTGCGGAGCTGAGGCCTGTGCCTACCCAGCCCCCTGGAGGAACAGCCCACATGCCACCCAAGGCAAGATAAGCACAGTGGAGGTAGAGACTATCTAGGAGATGATGATAAACATTAGATCTGAAGGGGCCTTCAGGAGCCATGTAGAGCCCAGGAGATACAGCCAGTCAGTGACAGGCACAGTCCTCATTCCCAGGACTCCTGAATGTCCATCTGGTTAATAGTCCCTTTTTTCTATGCCACACAGCCTTTCTAATAGCTATGGGGAGGAGATGAGCCCTGAAAAGCACTTGAACTTGGACTTGGTGGTTGACAGTTGGCAGGAAAATGACTAGGAGCAGGTGAAATGCGGAGAAAAGAAAACAAATGTCCTCGAACACAGCAATTGCACTCAAGTCCCCTCAAGCTTTGGAAGCTGAGCACCATTCAGGGATCAGGGATCAGGGCTCAGTACATTTATGCTCACTGACTGACTATGGCTGGGCGATGGGAAGATAGTACTGGGTGAGAGCGAAGGATGGAGATGGGAGATGGGAGGTGACACTACACAAGCAAAAGATCAGTGGCAGCTCTGGCTAAATGGAGAAAGATGCTCACAAGCCTCAATGCCCACACCTCCCCATGCTGTCACATGCACACACACACACACACACACATACATATACACACAGCAATAACCACAGACACTGACTGTCCTGGCTCGCTGCCTGGCCCTGTCCTGGGTGGGTCACTCCAGGGCAGAAATGAAGGGCTTCCATCAGCCCCTCCTAAGACGACCCCCACCCCGACTAGAGTAGATCAGCCCCACAGAAGGAGGTGGTACCCTTCCCCAAGGTCTGATTACCGAGACGTTCTGCAGAACCTCCCGCCGCAGCAACCGGACACTTATGATGTTATCCTGAGCTTGCTTTGGGGACAGAAAGAAATGATGTCTCCAGTTAGAAGTCAGCATAGAAACCAGCCCTGCAATTATGTGCTGCTTCCCCAGACCCCTAAATCTCTCCAGTTTGAGAGATCTCAGAGGCTGGAGGGGACCGAAGGAGGACCCAGGAAGAGTTATGCCGAGCTGGCCCTGGGGAGAGGGTACAAGTTCCAGCCATAAAAACTATTAAGCTGGACACTCCCGCCCTCCACCTGCCAGGGACAAATGGAGTCCCAGGAGTTCTCAGCCTGAACGCGGACACGAGGAGGGACCTGTTTGAGTCCTTTGGTCATCTGAGACTGGAGGAAATGAGCCTATTTGGTGTAAGAACAACTAGGGGCAGGAATTTGCCTCCCTGTCCCACACGGGGAGGAAGAGCTTGTGGGGAGGACGGTCTGGGAGCTGCCTCCCGTCCTCGCAGCCGCCCACTCG